AAGAAGTGTATCGAGCAGGGTATGGTGCTGCAAGGTGAGTTGAAGAAGGATTCTAACAAGAGTGGCCTGATGACCTACAGCCAGTATAGCCAAAAGGCCGTACTTCGATACCAGCAGAGTATGAATCTTGAGAGGAAAAGTGCTCGTAGCATTGCTCCCGACTCATTACGTGCCTATTATTTTTTCATTCGGTTATACCACCGGTTTTTCTTGGCAACATATTGAAAACGCTGAAATTTCAGAAAATGTTTAAGTCTTTTAAGGATTTGAAGTACTGTTTGTTAGATGAGAGTTAAATTTTTTTTCATTAATCTGTGAACAGTCCAATCTTTTTACTCAATCATTTGTCGGTCAGTTGGCTATTATTTTTTTAATAAAAAATCTCACGGTTGAAGTAGACTTGACTGGAGATGACTTGCCTAACCTGCGGCATAGCTCAGTCTGTATCAGTGAAAGAACATCTGAGTAAAACTCACGGTGTGTAAGCCTTTTCCTCGAAAGGAAATGGTGTAATTTCTTGAACTTCAAGCCTCGCGTGTAGTTCCTCAGGGACTCAAGCAAAAGCCCAAATCGCGCCGTGTTTAGATTTCACCAGCAGCTGTTGGCCAACAATTCGTATACTACATCCTTAGCGAATGAGCTTCGTGCCGATTTATAGTAGAGCTAGATGGATAGATCTGGACCGTAAGGCTGGGCCAGTTTAGACACGACCTCGTTAGAAGGCTTAATTGAGCTCTGATTTTCTTAAAGTTTAAGTACCACATCTACTCAGCCATATTTCATGGAGCTTTACGTACAAGCTTGCTAAAAAGTCTAAACATTTGTTGTATGGTTTTCAAATTTCACACTCTGGTTAAGAAAACCTTTTTTCCTACTCTACTATTAACATCCCACTGACTCCTTTTCCATTTTCCAGCCGTACGCGAGGACCGAATGCCAGGCGGTCGTAACAGTGGTGCCGTCTACAATCTCTACAAGGTGAAGTATAAAAAACACAAAAAGTCCAAGCAGCAACAGCAGCAACAACAACAACAGCAACAACCGCAACAGCAACACATGCATTCACCACACCATCAGTCGCCACTCTCTCCACACCACCAACAACATCTGCTCTCGCCACAACAACATCTGCATCAGCATCAACAACAGCTGGCAGCAGCTGCCGCAGTCGCTGCAGCAGCTCAGCATCAGCACTCGAAGCTCTTGAGCGCCACGCTGGGACAGAGCGAGATGAAGTCAATGTTTTTGGGGCCTTCCGTCAAGCAGGAGCACTTACAGCAGCAGCAACAGCAGCAACAACATCATCAGCATTCGAAGCTGCTGAGCGCGACGCTGGGACAGAGCGAAATGAAGTCCATGTTCTTGGGTCCTTCCATCAAGCAGGAGCACCTACAGCAGCAGCAACAACAGCAGCAGTCGGCGCAGCTGCATTCACCACACCAGCAGCAGCTACTTTCGCCGCACCACGCACTGCATGGCTCGCCGCATGGCGCACTGCCGCAACACTCGTCAGCCAGCGCCTTGCACAGTCCACTCTCACATGGGCCTCCCTCACTGCCGGCACACACTTCCTCCTCATCCTCATCTTCATCGTCGGCATCATCGGGTGGCAGCAGTGGCTCGCAGCAGTCGTCGTCGCATCATGCGCTTCACTCGCCACATCATCCGCTGACGCATGCGCATCACATGCAGTCGAATGCGTCACATACGCCACATTCACAACAACTGCATCAGCAGCAGCAGCAACAACAACAACAACAGCAACACCCGCAGCAACAACA